TTTTGTTTCATTTTAATTATGCTCAGACTTATTATTTCTAGAATAACAGATTGTTAAACACTGGTCTTTTATTTTATAACTTTTAGATTTAATAGACAGGAATCTGAGTGAAATGAAAGGTTTTTCCTTTTTTGGCCTGAAAGTTTGGCAATAGGGGCCCTAACTAAGGTGACAAAACTCCAGAATGACCAATTCTTTCTCTGGAATATATCACCCTTGGGGACTGTTCTACAACAATCATCCCAACACTTGTTATTCAGAGCCAGCCCAAAGACTTTTTTCTAAAGCCATTTTTTATATTTTCTGCAAAGATACAGAATAGTAAAATGGTTTATAACTCAGACTTTGGAATTAAACATCCAAGCTTAGTGTCTTGGCTTTGCGAAGAGCTAACTGACCTTTTATAAAGTTTCCTAATGTCTTTATGTCTCACCTTTTAAATTCACCTGTAAAATTTTGTTGAGAAGATTAAATGAGATAATATATGTGCAGTACATAGTGAATACCTGGTACATACTTAATGCTCAAAAATATTAGGGGTTGCTGCTGCTATTACTGTTCTTATTCAGAAACAAGCTCACGGTCCAGACCTGGAAATAGGAGCAGTCCACAAGAAGACATTTCTTGTTTAAATTTCCAAGGCTCTTAAACTAGGCACACTCTCTCCCAGTCCTATGGAGGAGGTATCATTCTTATACCATACTTACTTTTGTTGTGTTGAAGACTTCTCTTCTAAAGTTGAGACTAAGCCACCCATTTTAATCTTGCCACTGCAAACCAGAATTAATTTTAGACCGTAGTAAAGAGTAAACAGCATTTATATGAGCAGAAGAAGCTGCAGCCCAGGATACATAGATTCAGGTAGCAACCTAAATAAATTGTGTCCCGGGAAGAACAAAGAAAGGGTTCTTAAAGGCAGAAATCACAGAATGTAATTCTTTCATGCAAATGAAGAATTACTGGCCAGGTTAATAAGGTTTGTTTAGTTCCAATAGGCAAAGCAAACAAGGGAGGCAAAAACTACAAGAGGGTGGTAAACTCCATGTGTGTCCATGTCGCAGTTGTTCCAGGATATTGATGACTCAGCCTTGAGCTGTGTTTTAGCAACAGATTTAACAACTTAATAGCAGCTCTGAGAATTGAGGCTCAAATATGCATAGGCTGTTAGGCCCCACTTTCTTAATAGCCTCCTGACTCCATTTTAACCCTCCTCCCCCATATTAGTGACTACAGTTGAGATATTTTGGTTCACATCACATTTTAAAATTTATTTTTTTTTATCTCTAGTGAATCTACTAGTAGTCGTTTTCTTTGCTCACTTCCCTTAACCCCTTTTGGATTGTAGATGCTGAGAACTGAATTAATTATATCCTTTAGCTCCATAACACATTGTCATCATCAGTACATGCAAGATCCTTTTTTTTCCGTTTTATTTTTACCCTTCATTTCTAACCTCATCCTGTATCTTTCCCTAATAGTTACCTACTCTGATGTGTCTCCACATGTCCTTAAATATGCCTGCATTTTTTAAAAGAAATAATATTGTTTTGTGCGAATGGGTTTTTAATTTATAAGAAGATATTGTGCTATTAATATCAACATTAAAATTTAAACTTCCATTACTTTATATATGACTAGAGGCCCGGTGCATGACATTCCTGCACTTGAGGGGAGGGGTCCCTCAGCCCAGCCTGTGCCTTTTAGCAGTCCGGGAGCCCTCGAGGAATGTCTGACTGACGGGCCTTAGACTGCTGCAGAGGCGGAGACAGGAGAGACTCCCACCACAGCCTCTGCGCTCGCCAGGCCAGCTATCAGCCCTGCTTGTGGCTGAGCAGTGCTCCCCTGTGGGAGTGTACTGACCACCAGGGGACAGTTCCTGTATTGAGCATCTGCCCCTTGGTGGTCAGTGCATGTCATAGCGACTGGTCGTTCCGCCATTCGGTCAATTTGCATAATACCCTTTTATTATATAGGATTATTTAGTGCTTCTAACTTTTAACTATATTTTAGTTACTGATTCCCCAAAGGATAGACACCTAAATTACTATCAGTCCACACTATCACAAAACATGCTGCAATTAACATTTTCTTACATCAGCCTATAGATAGGATGATCACATTGGTCCAAACTGAGATGCTTTTGAAATTGAAGGGGAATATTTTGATACAGGAGTATATTAAGACTCCTAAACCAACAGGAAATGTGGTCCACCCTGTTTATGGCAGATTGTTCTAAAACACAGCTGATAATCAACAGATATGTACTGGGATGGTCTTTCCCTTTTTGTTTCCAGCTGACATCTCTTGCAGTTGGTTGGTGCATGTGCTGGACTGATTATTGCTTATTTTAAATACCACTCTTTGTAGATACTACTCATGAGGAGAAATGTCTGGGTTACAGGTTATAGACATACTTAAAGTTTGAGTTTGTCCAGTCTTGTCCTATTAATGGATGGACGGAAGTTTTTTATCTTCCCATTCTATCTGACGAGGCATTCCTCTTATGCTTCCTTTACACTAGCAATAAAGTAAACAAATAACAAAAATTTAGCCCATAACCAGTTACAGAAAACCATTATAATCAAAAGTGCACACTACAGTACACAAGGTGTCCTACCGGTGCATGTGTAAGACACAAGGACCAACATCTTAAGTAAGTACAGGTCCTCTTGCTAGTGAATCTAAGACAGTGGTTCTCAACCTTCCTAATGCTGGGACCTTTTAATACAGTTCCTCATGTTGTGGTGACCCCCAACCAAAAAATTATTTTTGTTGCTACTTCATAACTGTAATTTTGCTACTGTTATGAATCATAATGCAAATATCTGATATGCAGGATGTATTTTCATTGTTACAAATTGAACATAATTAAAGCATAGTGATTAATCACAGAAACAATATGTAATTATATGTGTTTTCCGATGGTCTTAGGCGACCCCTGTGAAAGGGTCGTTCGACCCCCAAAGGGGTTGCGACCCACAGGTTGAGAACCGCTGATCTAAGAGTTCCTACTGTCATCTACGGGAATATTAGCAATATGGCCACATATGACGTGTTAAAATGAGTTGAAACACATTGGACCTTTTTAAAGTTCCAAGTCATTTTATTTCAAGATGACAACCTTGGAATAGCTGTAGGATGATGTCATTATCAGAGAGAGGGTTGAGCATTTCTCCCAGTAAGTGCAATGTGATTTACCCATTGTGTAGGTTCCAGTTAGCATTTAGTAAAGTTGTGGGGATTCTGTTTCTGTACCAGTTTAATTTTTAGTCCTCTTCATCCTCATCCTCATCCTCATCTGTACTTAAGTGTGAAATGCAGCCAACAATGAATGCACACAGTAGAAGGGCTGAACGAATCATCAGTACAACTAGAGCCTGGTTTACACTCATGCTTATTTTGCCACGAGCAGATGGTTCTTTGTCAGGTGGAGGGCCACTGTCTATACTACCACCCGGTCCGCTGTTTTCACACAGTGGTGGACTCCGCCCCACCTGACAGTGACAATTTTTATTATTGTTGCACACACCTCTGAAATTGCATTTCTGGACATCACAGTCAAAGGCCATGTCTTGATGAAAAGTACAATTCAGGTTAAAACAGTAACTTCCTGGCCCACATGTTGCACCATCTATTACTAACGCAAGTGGTGGCAGGTCCATCCCAAAGTGTGCATCGTATCCAAAGCATATTTCTTGCTTAGCTAAGAGCTGATGAAATGTAGTGTGCTCACCTCCACCAGGTACTTGTTGGACATCACGACAGTGCAACATTCCACAAAGAACATCATCTTGTTCACATGGTTTATGTCTTTCTCCCACCTTGCTGAAGACCTGCCCACAGCTTCCAAATCGGTCACCCCTTACATTCAGTGTATCATAGCACACTTGCGGAGCATCTCTCACTTTGTAGCCAAATAGAGCTTGACACTGCATGTCACGGTCACTACAGTTTCCTCTCACACAAACGGCTAAAGGTGAACACGGGGTTCCATCCTGGATATAGAAGTCATTTGGACAAGTAGCCTTTTTCCCATCACAGTATTATGGTAGATCGCAAATGCCACCCTTCTCTCTACAAATCCATCCAGGATTAGCATACTTACAGTTAACACAGCACTCTCCACTACTGCATTCACTACCAAGGGAGAGGGCACAATTGGTCTCACAACATTTGTTTTCAGCACAGTCTTTCAAGGAGCCACAGTCACATTCTTCCTGCTGATTTATGATCTTGTCTCCACAACGAGGAGCTACATAAGGAAAATTATTGTATGGATCCATTGTGTAAGACAAACATTCATCATAGCGGTGTAATCGAAAGTGGATACGCGTGTAAGAACAATTGCTGAACATATCGTTAAGACCTGGCGTAGGAGCCATGACACAGAAAGTTCTTCGAAAACATTTACAACCAGCTACATCATGTTCCATGGCAAAAATATGACCCAGTGTATGTGCTGCGATACCGGCACCTAAAAATAGATGAACATTTGCTACATATACAAACATTGCCCCCCAGTTGGGGTTGCATATTCCATTTTGGAAGCCAAAATGATTTTCACCACCGATTTTATGTCCTGTAAGAAGTATTGTAGTATCATGATTAATAGTACGATACACATTATAAGTTTTCCACATACCAAATTTTTCCACAGCTTTAGACGCAGAGTAATACCTTGTTACGTCTATGTGATCTCTATCATCCCAGATGCACAAAACACGTAGGTTGACAACCAGAAGATGTTGATGAAAAATGCTGTGTAATATGCTGTTAAGCATCACCACTCTCTCAATTAGATCTGTCTTATTAGGCCTGCTCCTGTATAATGAGTTACTAACTGTGTAGTGAAGTTTTAAATTTCTTCTATGGGGCCACCATAAATACACGGGCGCTGCTCTAGGGGTTTCAGCAAATGTTGCCTCTTCATATGCTAGATCTGCATCTTCTTTTTCAATCTTACAACTTTTGTCCTCTCTTGGTTGTTCTTTCACAAGCAGAGACATCACATGCTCAAACTTGGAAGAAGCCTCCATTGGTTTGATTTCATAAGTCGAGTCATCCACCTGCAGCATGCCACGCAGACCCCCATAGCAAGTGTCCAGCGTGCCCATGGATCCAGGAACCCCCTCCAAGTAGCTGAAGTAGTAGCAGTCTCGAGGGATAAAGGGGTAGTCCTCCTGCATGGCACCTTGGTCGTTATAGGTGATAACCGGAAAATGTCTGGGCAGCAAGTTCTTCTTGACCTTCATGTGAACCACATGTCTTCGGCCACTGAAGTGAATCCTGTAGGAGAGCTGGCCTCGTACCCCAGCTCCGCCCAGCCTGTGGGACACCTTCCTGGGGATCACAATTTCAGAGGAAGTGAAACGCCATCCTGGTAGGGCATGGGAACAACTGACCTGAGACAGGAGTAGCCAGAGGAGAGGCAGCCAGAGAGCCCCTGTCAGGTGGGCCTTGGCCCAGGCAGGCGCCATGAGCGAGGGAACCTGTGACCATAGAGAGTGCAGGCCAGACTAAAGCTGCTGTAGCACCTTTTCCAGCAGGAGGAGAGCAGAGAGAGGCTGGAGGTTTGGCACCCCTAGAGACTGGGAGGGGGAGGGGGTAGCTATTACAGAACAATGGTGCATTCTTTGGGGGAGGCTGTGCTCAGTGATGTAGGGAGTCTGGGCTGAAAGGTCCCCTGGTCTCTTGGAGAAGACTCAGGGAAAGGATCAGTGGATTTTGTGGCAACTTTAAGACACTCGGTGGCTTTTTTCCTCAAGCCTAGAACATAATAGGTCAACATGACATTAAAATGGAGAATGGTGAGGAGAGTGGAAGCTTCTCTGTATAAGAATTTTGAGGAGAGAATTAGATTCTCTCACACTTTTTAAAAGTTCTTGTAACTATTGTCTTATAACTTTGCCCTTTCTTGATATGGCAAAGCCCTAGAAATAGGATTTAAATGCAGTTGGGCTGAGTGATGGAAAGGAAGTGTAAACAGATGTCGTGGATAGAAAAGCCAGGGTGTATAATGATAGTTTCTTGTAGAGTGAAACTCACACCTACTTCATGTGGCCAAGGAAATTAATTGCCCACTAAGACTTGCACATGAATATTCATAGCAGCATTATTCATGAATTTATCCTACCAAATGGAAACAAACAACCAGTACTCAATAGACGAATGGATAAACAAAAGGGTATATTTGTCCGATGGAATACCTCAGTAAATCAGAAGAGACTCCTGATACGTGTAAGAACATGGATGTGTCTCACAGATATGATGATGATGATGATGATGATGATGATAGAGAGAAACAGGACCAAAGCAACTTAATATATGATTTAATTTTTATGACGTTCTAGAACACTCCAAAACCAGTTCTGGTCACAGAATTTAAAATTTCCTGACTTGGGAATGGAGGAGTGGAGAGAACTTTCTAGTGATGGAAAACTTGTGTATCTTGACTGGGGTGTGTTGTAGATTACGTGATCGTGTGCCTCCCAAATTCACATGTTGAAATTATAAGTGTGTCTGGGTTTTGTGAAGTTTGAGTAAAATTAAATTTAAAATTGTATCGGGGGGAAAAAAAGACTAAAACATGCAGCGTGGTTGTCTCTATCAGGTCCCACTCAAATCACCAATCTGGCCCCTACAAAAACCCCATTGATCCTAAGAATGACTGTAAATTACATCAAGCTCTACCCAGTAGAATCTCTTATTGTAGCTGCCGCCTCAGATGTGCTGTCATTGCTAGAGCAAACTAAGGTGCCCTCAAGTGCATGACATGCAGCCATTGATTTAGTGGTAGTACTAATTGCTGTTATGACCAGAAAGAGAATATCATAAACAAGCAGGCTTCATGTGGCATGGATAAATGTACTTATTTATAGCTTTGCCCACAAGGGCTGTATTCACCCATCCCCCTTACTTTTGTCATAACTTTGCCCTTTCTTGATATGGCAAAGCCCTAGAAATAGGATTTAAAAAATTTGAGGCTAACCATTATCATTTCTGCCCTTGCGTTAACTGGGAAATGTCCAGCTGTAATGAATCTGTCTCAAATATCTGGCACCAATTAGAAACCATTTTAAGGCATACACATGGTAGGCCTTAGCACAACACAGCCCCCTTTTAGTAGTTATGGCCTACAACCTGAGTTGTCAATGCTATTTAGAAACATCTTAGATGGGCAACTACACCCACCCTTGGGTTGAAATCATCTTTCACCATTTTGGAGAGAGCATGATAACCAAAGACAAAACCACACACACTCAAAGTTATGGTAGTAGAAATTAAACAGCCCGAGGGGAACCAAAGGTCCTCAACAAATGCAAAACAGATTAGTGAGGATATGAACCAATATTTAAAAAGTGGGGGGGAAGATCTTACCGGGTCCACAATTAACATGCTCTGGTCAGCTGGCTGCTGAAACTGAGACAGAATTTCTCCCCTCCTAGGAAGAGAGTCTGGTTTCAACAGTGGCCCATGCATCAGCAAGGAATTACCATCTTAGTCAATGGTCATCAACCTCGATTTTAGGAGATCCTGATGACAACAGCAAATGCATCACCCCTGTTAGATAGGAGCATAGAATAGCAGGGACTCAGACCCATCTTGGATGAAGGTCCAAATCACTAGATCTGGTACTAACTAGTAAGCCACCTGACAAGTGGTGGCCATGAGAGCTCTATACCAGATGGACAAATTGCAGTGTCACAGACTGATTCTCTCCTGCTGCATCCCTCCTCCACCATCTGGACTCTGTGTTTTCAGAAAGAGACTTGATCTGAAGCCTGAGACATCTAAAGGGCACAAATATAACACACCACTTATCAGACTCTGTCCTAGTGCACTATTTCTGAAGTGATTGCTTCCTGTTTCCTTTGACCTAAATTTGTGTCTTTGTGCATACATCAGACAACCCGTTCTCTTCTGTAATTTAGAGGCAGGCTGTGATTCGTCAATTCCTTAGATATTAACTGTGAGATACTATGATTTCAATAACCAGAGGCCTTATGAAATGATGTATCAGTGATCAATGGCTCCTTAGGTGTAGTTTTATAATAAAGATGCAAGGCTGAAATCATCATATTTGAAATACCCCAGGTTTAGCACAACTGAAGAAAAATAATGACAATTAGGAAAATGACAGAGTTAGCATAGTAAGTGCTTCAAACCTGGAGGCTTTTCTTAGATTCTCTCTTTGATCTTGCTATATCCTTAGAAATATCTACACTAATGAAAGAGAAGCATGTAAATTGACCGTCCCCTCTGCTATGCTCACCAGGCAATCAGGATGAGCATGCAAATTAACCCAAGAAAGATGGCTGGCCTGTAGGCAGCATGCACGTGTGCACAGGCGCCAAGCGGCCAGGGGCAGGCATCTCACCCCGCCCCACCCCGGTCACTTCGTGCCTGTCTGCAGGACATGGAGGCAAGGCGTGGCAGTGGCAGGGTGGGACACCAGACTTCCATTGCACCTGTGTCGCTCCAGGCAGGAGAGCAGTGCTTGTGGACAGGGGAGGCGGGCCAGTGGAGGACGGCCTGTACTCCCCACATAGCAGCGGTGGCAGCCGTGAGCACACCAAGATGAGCCTTGGTGAAGTAGTGCCTGCAGGCCATCAGTGCCGAGAAGTGGCTGTGCAGGTCCCACCTCCAGACCCAGGAGGTGTGCGATCACAGGGACAGCCACCATGGTGGGCCAGATTGAGGTCCTCCTGGCCACACCATGGGGTTTTGTCGATCTGCGAAGCCACAGGCCTCTGGTGTGCACATCCTCTCCTCCCCCATTGGCGTGCGAATGCCCCTCAGCACTATGTCACCCTCGCTTGCCTGCAACAGTCCCAGACCAAGGTGCATGCAAGTTCCTCCCGCCCCTCCGCCACACTTCCATCACCCCAGCATGCCTATGTCCCCCACAGTATGTGCGCAGGTCCCCTCCGGCATGCTCATGTCCTTTGGAGAGTGTCTGGGTGTTCTGGGTGCTGAGGGTGAGCGTCTCTGAGATGACAGTGAGAGGGCGGAGTGGTGATGCCTTGTTCCTGCAGAGGCCAGTGCAGGGAGATCACCTCCATGGGGCTAATAATGCAGGTGCTGAGGCAAGAGCAGGTGCAGACAGACACACCTGGTGGGTGTGGGCGGCTCTCACTGAGGTGCCTTTGGTCAGCGTTCAAGATGAGGAACCCAGAGGAGGCGAAGAGTTCCGTCCTCTCAGTGTAATGGTGGGATAGTCGGGGCGACTGCAGAGGAGGAATGTGCACTTTGGGTGCCAGCACCAATGAGAAAAGGCTGCCCTGACTGAGCCTCGCTCACGTGGGTCCTAGTGCACTCCTGCCGGGCTGTGGGTGAGAGGACGTGCTTTTCTGAGTTAATGAAAGAAAACATTGATTCTCCCACTGCCTGAGAAGGTGGAAAGTGGAGTGGGGAGACATGCAGGGAATGAGCAAGGATCCCTGTCTGGTGGTTCCATTCACGGCTGACTAGAGATATACAGGGTGTCCCCCAAAATGTATACACACTTTGATTACCTACTAATTCCAATGGGTTTAAACATGAAAAGAAAGACACACAATGGAGCTGTAATCTGTTAAAAGTGGGGGAACAGAAAACCAAGATGGCGGCATAGGTTAACACCGAAGCTTGCTGCCTCGAACAACCACTTCAAAAATACAACTAAAAGTCGGAACGGACATCATCCAGAACCACAGGAAGGCTGGCTGAGTGGAGGTTCTACAACTAGGAGGAAAGAGAAAACGATATGAGACTCAGAGGAGGCGCAATGCTGAAGTGAAATACTAAGGTTCGGAGTGCATGTGGAGTGGGCCGGCGGCGGCAGGCGCGGTTGTTGTTTTCAATCGGGAGGGAGTTTCAGACTCTGAGCTCCAGATCCGGGCGAGGCTCTAGGGACCCAGACTCAAACGGGAGAAGTGGGAAGGCAGCTTTGTCTCCGAGGTCTGCAGCGGTTGCAGAGCCGCTGGGGACGGAACTGAGAGCAGCCATAACGGCTCGCTCCGCCCGTCCTGTTGATCCCCTGGGACCCGCCCCGCCCAAGCCCTGCACAGAGGCATTTGCCGGAGAGCCTCAGGCAAAGGCTAGATTAGCACCGCCCTAGAGATTCAGCACAGTAGCGCTCCCACTACAGACACAGCTGACTCTCATAGCCAGTTAGCCTGGAGGTCAATTCACCCCCAGTATTGCCGACAACAATCAAGGCTTAACTACAACAAGACTGCGCACAAAGACCACAAGGGGGTACACCAAGAAAGCATAAAAAATGCGGAGACAAAAAAACATGACAGAAATGGAGGATATAGAGCTAAAAAATGCACTTTTAAGGGCTTTCAATGATTTGTTAGAAACTGCCGATAAACTTGATGAGAGCCTCAAGAAATCCAATGAGACCCTCGATGTTGTGATAAAGAACCAACTAGAAATTAAGCATACACTGACTGAAATAAAGAATATTATACAGACACCCAACAGCAGACCAGAGGAGCGCAAGAATCAAGTCAAAGATTTGAAATGTGAAGAAGCCAAAACCACCCAACCGGAAAAGCAAAATGAAAAAAGAATCCAAAAATACGAAGATAGTGTAAGGAGCCTCTGGGACAGCTTCAAGCGTACCAATATCAGAATTATAGGGGTGCCAGAAGATGAGAGACAGCAAGATATTGAAAACCTATTTGAAGAAATAATGACATAAAACTTCCCCCACCTGGTGAAAGAAATGGATTTGCAGGTCCAAGAAGCGCAGAGAACCCCAAACAAAAGGAATCCAAAGAGGACCACACCAAGACACATCATAATTAAAATGCCAAGAGCAAAAGACAAAGAGAGAATCTTAAAAGCAGCAAGAGAAAGAAAGTCAATTACCTACAAGGGAATACCCATATGACTGTCAGCTGATTTCTCAACAGAAACTTTGCAGGCCAGAAGGGAATGGCAAGAAATATTCAAAGTGATGAATACCAAGAACCTACAACCAAGATTACTTTATCCAGCAAAGCTATCATTCAGAATTGAAGGTCAGGTAAAGAGCTTCACAGATAAGGAAAAGCTAAAGGAGTTCATCACCACCTAACTAGTATTATATGAAATGCTGAAAGGTATCCTTTAAGAAGAGGAAGAAGAAGAAACAGGTAAAGATACAAATTATGAACAACAAACATGCATCTATCAACAAGTGAATCTAAGAATCAAGTGAATAAATAATATCAATAATTTAAATAATAAATAATATCATTCTGAACTGGTGATTATAATAGAATCAGGGACATAGAAAGGGAATGGACTGACTATTCTTGGGGGGGGGGAAAGGGGAATGGGAGATGCGGGAAGAGACTGGACAAAAATCGTGCACCTATGGATGAGGACAGTGGGTGGGGAGTGAGGGCGGAGGGTGGGAAGGGAACTAAGAGGAGGGGAATTATGGGGGGGAAAAAGAGGAACAAATGTAATAATCTGAACAATAAATATTTAATTAAAAATAAAAAATAAAAAAAATAAAAGTGGGGGAACAAACAGGCAGTCCGAATTTCCCCGAGGGGTCCCAGATTGGAGAGAGTGCAGGCCAGACTGAGGGGCCTCCTTTTGTGCACCGGGCTACTAGAACAGGTATAATTTCTGCGTGTCATTGTGGGCCTTGAAAGCATAAAATTCTAAGGCTTCATGAAGGCTCACATACTGAGCAGGTGGTAGCACTACTGTTGACATCACGGGCCTATGCCATGGAAGTTTTTGATCTTCCCAGTCTATCTGACGAGGCATTCCTCTTATGCTTCCTTTACACTAGCAATAAAGTAAACAAATAACAAAAATTTAGCCCATAACCAGTTACAGAAAACCATTATAATCAAAAGTGCACACTACAGTACACAAGGTGTCCTACCGGTGCATGTGTAAGACACAAGGACCAACATCTTAAGTAAGTACAGGTCCTCTTGCTAGTGAATCTAAGACAGTGGTTCTCAACCTTCCTAATGCTGGGACCTTTTAATACAGTTCCTCATGT